TAGTAGCCGTCGATCTGGTAGGACCACTGCCACGCTCCAGTGCCGGGAATACGTGGCTACTGGCAGCCCAGGATAAACTAACAAAATGGGCCGAAATACGTCCCCTGCGCAAGGCTACCGCCACCGCCGTCACCCGCGGATTTTACGAGGACGTAATCATGCGTCATGGCGTGCCTGAGGTCGTGATTTCCGACAACGGGCGACAGTTTGTTAGCCGGGAATTCCGCGAAATGCTACGCGAAGTAGGGGCGCGCCCGCGGCTGACCCCCCCGTATACCCCGCAATGCAACCCAGAAGAGAGGCATAACCGCGTACTGAAAACAATGATTGCACAATTCACCGGTCGGAATCAGCGGTCTTGGGACCGAAAGCTACACGAAATCCAATTCGCAGTAAATACCGCGCTTCATGAGTCGACAGGATATACGCCGGCCTTTTTAAATTACGGACGAGAGCTAAGGGCCCCCGGAACCCCCGCAACCGGAAAAATAAACNAACCACCCGGCACACAAGCGCGGCTCGAACAACTCAGCGCTGCCCGCGAACTCGCTCGCGTTAACATGGCACGCGCCTTTCAACGGCAGGCCGGGCATTACGATCTACGCCGACGATCCTGGCGACCGAAAATCGGGGAAATTGTATACAAAAAAACTCACGAACTCTCTGATAAAATCCAACACAAGACCGCGAAACTCCTACCTAAATATACCGGCCCTTTTACAGTCACGCGGATCATTTCGCCCGTAATATTCGACTTGCGCGACGAGAAAGGGAAGTACGCACGGCACATTCACGTGAGCCAACTTAAGGAATGTGGCCAAAACGGGAAAAATACGCAAAAACAAAACGTCAACAACCCCACTCAGACCACAAACCGAGCCGACGTAGCGAACATAGACGCGAGCTTCCCTCAGTACCCAGTAAGCTTTACCCACGGCAACATGTCGATCCACGCCGACATCGCCGAGGAAATCACTCTCGACGAACGATTTAACGAGGTGTTTGAGCGGTGCCTCCAAACACCGCCACCGAAGCCGCCACCAACCAGGATGCTGACACCCGAGGAGGTCCGGGCTGCAGTCCGGAAACGAGCCGCCGGACGCCCCGAGGATGACCCGACCGTCCGACGACCGACCCGGCCGAGCAAGCCCGTGACACCACCGGCCCGCCGAGCGGTGCTCATCCGAGCACCTCCAGCCACCGCCGCCATCAGCCGCCACTACCGTACGGCAGGACCACCGCCGCCAATGGCCCGGACAACACCACCCACCGGCCACCGCACACCGCTAACTGGGTCAGGCCACCGGATAGCTAACCCACACGCTACCACGGTCCGGCAATCCGACCACCAGCCCCTCCCAGCACTGGAAATCTCGAGGCCAGCGCTCCAGGCAGCAGCCATCACGGTCGACCCGCCGGCAACTACCCCCGGAACCGCACCGAGCCACACCGTCCAACCGAAGCAGCACCACCAGACCGCACCGACCACTACAGTCACAGTACCCGGGGGAGAGATCCTGGAGATCTCCTCCCACATCATCCGGGACGTCCGCCGCTACAGGGCCAAAGTCCCCAACGGACACTGGGTCCTGAGGTGGGACCAAGCGGGCCAGCTTACACT